GCACCTTTAAGACTAACAGAGGTATTGGGAGCATAAGCTTTCGTGGGTAAGAACCTCACTTCTTCAGATGCAAGCAAGCATCTGAAGAAGTGAGGTTCTTGCCCACCAAAGCTTATGCTCCCAATACCTCTGTTAGTCTTAAAGGTGCCACAGGACCCTCTGTTGCGTTCTATATACAGCCTCACACGGGTTTCCAGAAATGTGATGACACCTCCAGATATGGTGTCTGTCCATTAGCCACTCGGATAGGACTCAAACAGTGGAAATCATCTGGATGGTAGTGAATGAACACACATTTTCTCATGTCTCCTGGAAAGGAAATGTCTCCAATATCCCAGTCAGTCTCCATTTCTTAAAAAAATCCAGATCTGACAACATACTTCCTCAAATCATCAGCCACAAAGTAAAAACACTATTGTTTGCTGCCAATAGGTTTTCTTTGTCGACGTGCAAGAGATTTTAAGTCAAGAACACTTACAGGCATTGTATTTTAGTGAATTTTTTAGCATTCCTATTGAATGCTTTTTGAAAATGTTTTGTTTTTGTTAGGTATAGGTGCCACTTGATCGGGCTGATTACTAATTGTAAAGAAAGGAATAATTGTATAGGAATTAATTATTGGGCCATGTTTGGTGACAATGATTTTTTTTTCTTTTTTACTATTAGTTGTGTACTTTGCTGTTAACCTTAATGAAGCTTCATATTTAAAAATATGTTCTAACTTGCTGTTCGAGCTAACCAGATGCTTACTGACCATTTGCATGGTAACACATGCGGTGCTGATGGGTTTTTGTTTTTCTTTTCTTTTTTAAGTTGGTACTGTCAGATTCAACAATGCAGTTAATAAGGCAAAAGAGGTATTCACTTTCTAGCAACCTCTGTCTTTGTAAAATTGTCTTTAATTTATTGTATAGCCGTGCTAATAATCACATCCCTAATTTGGGTTGAGGTGTAAAGGTTGTTCATGCAGAATGTATTATGTACCACATTAGGTCTAACAAATGTCACAGACAGACTTCGCAGCGGTGTTTCTTGTGTTTTGCAATGGACCGGAAAAAATTGTCACCTGGATATTCTGAGCTTGGGAAAAAGTTTTTTTTTTCCCCACCAAAAGATCAAGCTTTAAAAAAATATTTCCCTCTTTTTCCATTGTTGGTGGTGGTGGAGGGAAGTAATTAGGAAGCACACACATTTTCTAGGCTATTTCATTTTGAAATGCTGTAATAAAAGAATTTCAAAAGCTATAAGCAATTTTTTACAATAAAAGTAGTTCAGGCTTGATTTTTTTCAAAAGCAGGATGATTTGGGAAGAACTTGACTTTTAAGAGGAAACTGAATATAGAAAGGCAGTTGTGGATGAAATCCAGCCTGAAAGGCTATTGTTTTTAATCAAAGAACAGGATGATTGGCACGTTTATGAAAGCATGGAGAAATCTCCTAATTTGTTGGAATAATGTCCAACTGTTCTTTAAAACACATGGCTTCCTTGATCTTTTCAATTTGTACTTTATTCCCATATTTTCATTAATTTAAAGAAGAGCATCACTGGATAATAAATCCACGTTTACAAGGTATTTAATCAGAAAGAAGTATCCTAGTTTAGCTTTTAAATAATACATACAATACTAATCTGGCAAAATCCATTTAGAATTGGGAGCAAATGGAGCAATTTTTAATAAAGAAGAATATAAAGAAGATGCTTTAACTTGATGTTAAATTAATGTATACTTGCATGTGTTGTTATATTATAATACATTGTATATAGACTGATTTGTGTGTGTGTGTGTGTGTATATATATCTCTGTATAGATCTGACTATATACCTATATATATATATATATATATATAGTTTATATAAAATGTATTGTGTAATATAATATATGTCTAGTCAATTTATTTTGCTAGACACAACCTCAGAAATGACCTCCTGATTTAAGTATATATGTATAATTACTTGCTTTCCAAGTACAGGATGTTTTTAAGCTTTGTTCACTGAATGCAAATGGAAAACAATGCTGTATCAGAGCCAAACACCAAGAAACTAAAAATATTTTACAAATTTTGCAATCTGTATTTTCCCCATGCCCATAATAGAATATTTTGTTCATAAGTACATTTAATTGTATAAATGTCAAAAAGCTGATTATCCCAAAATAATGTTGTATCTGAAATATTGTTAAATTTTAATAGACTTATTTTGTGTAGATTTTGTAAATTCAGATATGGTATAGATTTAGGCTTTACGGGTGTGTATGTATATAGGTATATACCCGCATATGTACACACATGCACAACAGACACATAGACTTGAACTTTTACATTTTAGGGAAGTAAGTTGTTGGTAAGCAGAACCTTTACAGGGATATTTTCCCTTGGCTGACTCTTTAACATTTAGTCCTTGGAACAGAGGTGCACAGTTGTTTTACATGAAATTTAAATAAGGTTTCCGTTTTATTGATAAAAAAATTAGTCAGCCTACTAATGGGAAAATTGTAGCAATAATTCAGAAATGGGTATATTTTCAGAAAAAGCAAAGATAAAGCTGGTATGATGGAAAAATACAAACTAGTTATCAGTTTATGCAGAGTGAGTAGTGTCTAGATTATTTTGACCAAAGTGAGTCCAATGCTGAGCTATTTCTGTTAAACATTAATAATGTCTTGTTTAATAAACAGCACATTATAGCAATTCAGACAAATACTGGCCTAAGTCTGAAGTGCTAAAAATGAAATGATAAATACACTGGGTCTTAAAAGAAGAATTTTTAAAAAGAAAGAAACGCGCAGAACTGCAAATACACGAGACTGGAATGAGTAATTCAAAATTATGGTATCTGTCCTAGGCTGCAAAATCATTGTCAGGACATGTTGGGTTGCCTTATGTATCATAGTACAAAAATATATTTTGTGTGCAGCTAACATGTTGAATAAGGAATCATTTTTTCATTTATTAACTAGAATCTTTCCAAATAAATATCTGCACTGCAGGACAGTGAAACACAGCCAAATAGCACCATCTTATGGATGCTTTTTCTGGAGTTGCAGCTTTCATCAGCTTCCTTGTTTTGTCAACCTGTTTTTGGTTTTTCTAAGGTATATAAATATACATACACATATTTTAATAATATATATAATATGTACCTTCTTTTTCATTGGTATTTCAGGCATCTGATGCCAGCTCTGAAAAACTATTCAACACTGTTACAAATAAAGGTAAGACTGCAATCCCCACCATAAGCATATATATTTTTCTACATGCATTTCTTTTCATGGCAATTTCAATTTGAGATAAAATGTAACTTGTCGTGCAGGAATGTAGCAATCAGCTTGCTAGTGCTTTTTATGTTTCCCTTGGTTTCAGACATGTTCTATATGCTTCATAATTGCTTTGCTAATGCAATGTAAAATAAAGACTTTAAATAATGCATTGCCTGCCCGGTCAGAATTAATTTAAATAACAATATTAGGGAATAGTTTATTTTACAAATGGCTTTAATTTAAGCTCATTTAAATAACTGTAACAGTTTTCAAAATGTTTTAGCATGATTGTTACTCATCAGCTACATGATAGACATGGAATTATGAATAGCCAATTTGTACTGCTGACAGTAATAACCAGCCAGCATTTAGTATTCACAGGATAATAGTAATAAACCATGGCTTGCTGTGCCGTATGCTTTCTGTAAAGTTAATAAACAATATAGAGGGCCACATTTAAATATGCAATATCCCATTCATATCTCCCAAACAGCAATATAAAGAGAGAGTGGCTAATGATTTAACAGTACATTAAAGACATACTTGCTTTAAATCAGTATCAGTGGGCTTCTGTGCAGTGCTTATTTGAAGCAGCATTGTTGAAAATAATGTGGGGGTGCTTTTCTTCTTGAGGGCAGAGTGGGGAGAGAGTCTTGAATCACTAGCTGTGCCAAGGTGTATAATTCAAAGGCTTTAAATTACATAAAATCTATTTGATCTTTTCTCTCAACCCCTCTCCCTCCATAACACCTGTTTAGTGGCATTGCATGATAATTGCTTAGTAAGAAGGTGTGTGCTTTCAGCTCTAGTCTCATACAGTCTTAAATTATAATTTCATTGGAGCACTGGAGCAAGGTTTGAGTAGAAAATATAGGCTTAATTAAATTGAAATTTAAGCCTTTTCTGTCGTCTAGGTGAATAATTTGGATGGTGACTTATACTGTGTGTTTCTCACATAGAGCTTTTTTGGTTTGTTTGGTTTGTTTTGGTTTGTCCTATTGGATCATTTTTAAATGTGAAAAATGTCACATCCTGCCAATTTCTGTACCTTTTGATTCCATGGAGCTGCAGGGGGTGTAGCTGAGAGCATAAAGCAGCCCCTTATATTTGGGATTCCCATGCTGATACACTACTTCTGAAATTACTTTGATGAATATTGAATTATATCTATTTTTAATTGCCTTATGGATCGGTATTCCTGTTTTATGTATTAACATCCTTTTGAAGGACAATCTGAAGGGGTTGGGTTTTTTTGGTCGAAATAGGTTATCCAACTTGGCAAACTTATATTAGCTTTTCTATTTAAATTTGAATTTACAGCCATCCTTTCTCCTCCCTCGAAAAAATAGGTCACCAAAAAAAAAAAAGGAAGACTTGTGTGTTCTGGGACCCCAGACTCCCAAACTACATGTGACTGCACCTTTATTTTGCTAATTTGCTGTAAAAAGCATTGGAATTTGAGTAGTCCTTTCTTGGGACTGGGCCAGAATAGAATAGAAGCCAATCCAGTGAATCAACATTCCTGACTGATAGCCTGTAACTAGGCTGAAGGGATCTCTTCAATTGAAGGATGAAAAGTGATTGATGAAGACTAGGCCCCTGTTCCTCTTCCTTTCGTTTTCTTTTTAGAATCAAACACATTGCCCACATTCTTATTTTTGTTTACTTACCCAGTTTGATTTGTGGCATCTATTAGGTTGTGAATAACCATGCTTGACAGGGAGCCTTTTCTTCTGAGGTACTTTTCTTTGGTGATTTAGTTCCCTTGAAAGGATTAGGGTTTCTTTGTGTAGCCTAAAATCAACATAGGCTTTTCGAAGCTTTGCTTGGGAAACCATACACAAATAAGCTTTTTAGTTGATGGTAGATTATTCCTTTGCCCCCTTATTTCCATCAAAATGGCATCTTTCTTTTCTCCTCCTGAGTTTCCCCTTCAAGCCATATGCTAATTCCTGTTGGCAACATGAATGACAAGGGGGAGAATCAGTGCAAATCCAGGTGCTGAAAAACTAGGCTGACTGGTTTCATTTTGTTTTGGGTGGGTTCCCCCCCCTCATCCCCCCATTGGGAGAAAGAGATTAAGGGGAAGAGGATGGAAACAGCATAGGGGACAGTTTGTTAAAGGGATTAACATTCAAACTGCTAAATATCAGGAAAACAATCTCAAAAAGATCCACTGTTTAGAGATAATGTCAATAATTGCTTCTAGACAGGTGCAGGGATTCTCATTATGGGCTGTGGTTTGTTGTTAGTCTGTCCTCTGAGTGTCTGCTGGATGGATGGTTGACTAGGCTGTCAAAGAACTGTCAGTTTGATGCATTTCAAGTTCAAGTTCTCTTTTTTGCAAAGTGGGCTGTTTGCTTTAAAGCCAGCTCTTCCCCTGTTTTGTCCAGTGTGCCTTTTGCCAGAAGCAATAAAAATCAGTCTAAGAAAGGTCAAATTTGCATTTGGTAAACCGCAACGAAAATCTTCAAAGCCCCTGGCTGATTGAACAATCTGACAAGGTATGGCAAACTGACAAGCATACATCCCTGGCCTGCCTCTCAAATATCCCTCAAAGTTATCTACCTGCCACACAAATGTGGTGTTCTCTCACGTTTATTGTTTTATAATTATTTGCATCAGAAACAAAAGATTGTGAAACTGACACTACAGAAAAAGTTATTTGCACAAAAGGAATGAGTCCCACTGCATTTTAATTATTAATTGGTGGTGTCCTTCATTTTGGGTCTTTGTCATATACTGTATTCCTTTTATTATCATGTGGTTAGTTATTGTATTGCAGTAGCACCCAGAGGCCCTTGTGCTAGTCTCTATACAGACACACAGCAAGACACAGTCCCTGCTGCAAAAAGCTTAGGGCAAATTTTTCAAGCCACTTAGAGGTTTAGTAATCTAAATTCCATTGAAAGACACTGAAAATAGGACTTAAGCTCCTAGGTCCAGATCCTCAAAAGATATTTAGACCCTTCATTCGCTACTGGGGAGATAGATGCCTAAATATTTGCTGTTAAGTAACAGGTGCTTTTGAAAATGTTACTCACCATGTAAATAAACAAGACAGCCAAATGGTACAAGAAAGGAAGTACCATTTTAGAAATAGGAAACAGAGGTATAAAGAGATTAAATGATTTCCTCAAAGGCATACAAGAAGTCTGCGGTAAAGCTATGGCTTGAACTCAGATCTCCTGAGTGCCAGTCCAGGGCATTAACCATAAGACCTGCTTTTTCATTTGGGATTTGGCAGACTAAGAGGTATGTCCATGGTTATAGTGTGCTAGTGATGTTTGGTAGGTCTCTTAGTTGATTTCAATCACTATGTCTGAGTATAAAAATTAATTGCAGGATATGCCCTTAGGTCAGTGGTCACCAGCCGGTCGATCGCGACCGACTGATCCATCCTAGAGGGTCTCCCAGTCGATCGCGATCTCCGGCGGTGTAGTGGGGCTGCTGCTAAGGCAGACTCCTTGCCTACCCCGCCCCCACGCCACTCCCGGAAACAGCCAGAACAGCCCCAGAGGCGGGGGGCAGGGGTCTCCCTCCGCGCGCTGCTCCTGCCTGCATGCACCACCCCCGCAGCTCCCATTGGCTGGGAGAGCTGTGGGGGCAGTGCTTGCAGAAAGGGGCAATGCATGGAGCCACATGCCACCCCCCAGGGGCCTCAGGGGCGCGTTGGCCCCTTCCAGGAGTGGTGTAGGGCCAGGATAGGCAGGGAGCCTGCCTTAGCCTCGCTGTGCCCGCCGTCGAATGAGAGCCGCTGGAGCCCCAACCCCTGAGCCCCCTCCCGGAACCTGCTCCCTGAACCTGCCCCAAACCCCACGCTGAGCCCCCTCTGAGCCAGAACTGCAAAACCCCTCCTGCACCCCAAACTCCAGCCCTGAGTCCCCTCCCAGAGCCAGTACCCCAACACTGTTTTAAAAGGACATATCAACTTTCCTTTGAGGTCTGAAAGCATCAACATTAACATCATTAATCCTGGCCCAGGTACTGAATGTTGTTAACCAAATTTTGTAGTGTAATTTCCCAGAGTAATGAAGTTCCATTATCTTTTGATAACAGACACACTTCAAAGTCAGAGTTCTGGAGCAGGCAATTTCTCCTACTGGCTCTGTATTCAGTGTATGTTAACCCCTCTCCCCAGAAAATAGCCTTTCCTGAAGGGGGGGAAAAATGATTCTCAAACTGTTGAAGTTCTATTCTGTACACTCTACTGAAGTTTTCTTTGATCAGGAGCCCGGTTAGACTGTTACAGCTTTTTATGTTCAAATTGTTTACAGGATGTTCATGTAAACTTTATGAATCCATCTGCCTTAATGCCAAAGCCAGCTGTCAGGGAAATATTTAGTCTCTCAACATGAAGTAGATAGATAGGTGCGGGTTACCAGTTGTCCCTGGTGGCTGAAATGCAGCTCATGGCAAGCTCTGGCTTTTTAGGTTGTTCTGGAGAGAGATTGTCCTCCAGAAAAACAGGCACGTGTTCTTGTTTCTCGTGTATGTCTGTCTGTTTGGTACGTCATTTCTTTAAGACCCCCTGCCACATCTGTTTTTGCAAACAAACAGGGAAGTGAAACAGACAAATATTTCTCTTCCCTGATCCAGTTCCCAGGTGTTCCTATGGTGGAAGAGAGGTGCTTCTCACTCCAGGTGAACCAACCTCACCCCATTTGCCGTATGGAGTGTAATTGGGATTCACCACTACGTTCAAAAAGCACGCACACAATCTCAACATACCTAAGTATAGCAAAAAACCACCACCAGTACCCCATAGTGGGCAGGCAGATACCCCTGTCTCTGCCTTTTACCCTCTCTTCTCAGGAACCCAGAGCAACCCTCCCCAACCTACTCACCCACCCACCACCTTCTCCTCCTTTTTTTTGGCTGCCACCTTCACATCTCTGTATATCTACCAGTGGGTGGCCTGTGCATTCCCAGCCTACTACTTCTGTGCTATGTGT